GATCTCCAGCACTGCGTCCACCCAGCGCAAGGCGGCTCAGCTCTTGAAGGCTGCCAGGAAGGTGGCCGCCAAACCTCAGGCGCTTTCGATCGCTTGACCGACAGAAGACGACTGGTTTCGGTGGCGACGACCAAAGGTGCAGCAGAACTCCCAGAATGGACCCTTTCACGAGGAAATCTCATAGATCTCCCGAAAGAACCTGCAAAAAAACTGTCATCAACTGTGGACCCCAAAACACCCAAAAACGCCCACGCTACTAGGGGCTCCTGGCCTTACTACTAGGAACAAGAAGCTACTAGGGGCTCCTGACATCGCTACTAGGAGCAAGGACGCTACAAGGGGCTCCTGGCCTTTCTACTAGGAACAAGAAGCTACTAGGGGCTCCTGACATCGCTACTAGGAGCAAGGACGCTACTAGGGGCTTCGGGCCTTACTACTAGGAACAAGAAGCTACTAGGGGCTCCTGGCATCGCTACTAGGAACAAGAAGCTACTAATAACAAGAAGCTACTAGGGGCTCCTGGCATCGCTACTAGGAGCAAGGACGCTACTAGGGGCTCCTGGCCTTACTACTAGGAACAAGAAGCTACTAGGGGCTCCTGACATCGCTACTAGGAGCAAAGACGCTACTAGGGGCTCCTGGCCCTACTACTAGGAACAAGAAGCTAATAGGGCTCCTGGCATCGCTACTAGGAGCAAGGACGCTACTAGGGGCTCCTGGCCTTTCTTCTAGGAACAAGAAGCTACTAGTAACAAGAAGCTACTAGGGGCTCCTGACATCGCTACTAGGAGCAAGGACGCTACAAGGGGCTCCTGGCCTTTCTACTAGGAACAAGAAGCTGATAGTAACAAGATGCTACTAGGGGCGCCTGACATCGCTACTAGGAGCAAGGACGTTACTAGGGGCTCCTGGCCTTACTGCTAGGAACAAGAAGCGACTGGTAACAAGAAGCTACTGGGCCTGGCATCGCTACTAGGAGCAAGGACGCTACTAGGGGCTCCTGGCCTTACTACTAGGAACAAGAAGCTACTAGTAACAAGAAGCTACTAGGGGCTCCTGCCATCGCTACTAGGAGCAAGGACGCTACTAGGGGCTCCTGGCCTTACTACTAGGAACAAGAAGCTACTAGTGACAAGAAGCTACTAGGACTCGTTAAGGACGCTGCTAGAGGCTCCTGGCCTTACTACTAGGAACAAGAAGCTACTAGGGGCTCCTGACATCGCTACTAGGAGCAAGGACGCTACAAGGGCCTCCTGGCCTTACTACTAGGAACAAGAAGCCACTAGTAACAAGAAGCTCTAGGGGCTCCTGGCATCGCTACTAGGAGCAAGGACGCTACTATGGGCTCCTGGCCTTACTACTATAGGAACAAGAAGCGACTAGTAACAAGAAGCTACTAGGACTCGTTGCATCGCTACTAGGAACAAGAAGCTACTATGCGCTCCTGACATCGCTACTAGGAGCAAGGACGCTACTAGGGGCTCCTGGCATTACTACTAGGAACAAGAAGCTACTAGCAACAAGAAGCTACTGGGGGCATCTGACATCGCTACTAGGAGCAAGGACGCTACTAGGGGCTCCTGGCCTTTCTACTAGGAACAAGAAGCTTCTAGTAACAAGATGCTACTAGGGGCGCCTGACATCGCTACTAGGAGCAAGGACGTTACTAGGGGGGCCCTGGCCTTACTGCTAGGAACAAGAAGCGACTGGTAACAAGAAGCTACTGGGCCTGGCATCGCTACTAGGAGCAAGGACGCTGCTAGGGGCTCCTGGCCTTACTACTAGGAACAAGAAGCTTCTAGTAACAAGAAGCTACTATAGGGGCTCCTGACATCGCTACTAGGAGCAAGGACGCTACTGGAGGCTCCTGGCCTTACTACTAGGAACAAGAAGCGACTAGTAACAAGAAGCTAATAGGGCTCCTGGCATCGCTACTAGGAGCAAGGACGCTACTAGGGGCTCCTGGCCTTACTACTAGGAACAAGAAGCTACTAGGGGCTCCTGACATCGCTACTAGGAGCAAGGACGCTGCTAGGGGCTCCTGGCCTTACTACTAGGAACAAGAAGCTACTAGTAACAAGAAGCTACTGAGGGCTCCTGACATCGCTACTAGGAGCAAGGATGCTACTAGGGGTTCTGAGCGTACTACTAGGAACAAGAAGCTTCTAGTAACAAGATGCCACTAGGGGCGCCTGACATCGCTACTAGGAGCAAGGACATTACTAGGGGCTCCTGGCCTTACTACTAGGAACAAGAAGCTACTAGTAACAAGAAGCTATTAAGGGCTCCTGGCATCGCTACTAGGAGCAAGGACGCTTTTTTTTAATGGACGTGTTCGTCCCGTTTGCTTCAACAAACAACCTGCAAGACAGGTCTCTTGGAAAAAAGAACATGCAAGAAGTTTTGGTTCCATTTTTAATTGATCATTTCCATTGAACAGCGGACGAAATCCCTTCCAGTGAATCCAGATGCAGCCTCGCTCTGGAGCGAGCTAGCAGGTGGTTGGCCAGATGGTTGCCAAGGCTCTCTTGGCGGGTGGCCAATGGCTGGGGCGCCAAGAATCAAGGGCCACAGGAAAGGCCTCTCAAGGTGTGGCTCCATTTGAGTTGAAAAAATAGACCCGGTAATATGTATTAAGTAAGGAAGGTTCCCAGAGGTTCAGAAATAGCCTGGCCACCGCTTGGCATTCTGTTGCTTAACTTGGAGATGCTACTTGCCGCGCTAGCAGAATGCAGGGTTGCGCTAGGTCTGGTGGTAGGTTCAAATACTCAGTATAAGATTAACAAACAACACATACACACCTTGGCAATTAAACTTGTTGCGGTATGAACGGATAACCCCGCCGTTTTGTTGTGATTGGTTTATGTAAGCAGGGGCCACCGACACCCATCCACTGCGGGCATGCTCCCATTGTTTTTTCGGATTCTTTGTGCGTGGAAGAGCTGTTGTATAACGATTTCAAAGCTATAGGAAAGCCGGCAGACCGCAACGCGTGCTCTTGATGACGGCCAGTTGGTGGCCTGACGCACTGGCAGTGGAGCGCGCTAGATCCGCGCTAGACCACTTTGCAACTTTGACCACTTGGCCAACTGCTTACCAGGGCTACTACTCAATACACTAGAGACATGCGCACAAGCGGATTGCCTGCACGACGTTGCGCTGGGGTGATGAGAGTGAGTGAAAAGACGAGAAGGGCAGCTGGGGTAGGGGGTTCTGTAAGAACGATTAAATAGAAGAACGATAGGAAAATCATCTATCATATCTTGACAACTTGCTGCAAGTTGCTTATAAGGGGACTGCTACTTTCAGCTTCACATTTGGAACCGTTCGACCTGTAAGTCAGACTGCAGCTATGAAAGCGGCACGCGCAACATACAACCATATACATGAGGAGGTGTCGTCTACATGAAAGCCACCGCTTGGAATTGCTGTGTTTTGAAGCTAGGATAATGATTTTAGAACGGATTTTTTTTTCAGCTCATTTGATCTTCGTCACACCAATGATCACAGACTGTTGGTCCTTATGTTGCAACATCCTAAATACTAAAGCAACCTTTGAGTGTCCTAGATAGTTCAAAATTGGATGCATTTGGAAGATTGTCTCATCCATGACACTGACGCCCACCATTCTTCGGGAGATCGTCGAAACTTACTCTACGGTTACATTGCATGTTCACCCGCGTTGGAGCTCCTGGCGAGCAGAATTATAGTATATAACTTTGTATAATATAAATAAACACATCAGGTGAACGAATTCATTGTGCTTCATGGTTAATTGAACGTACATTCAAAAACACAACAACAACAGCAACAACAAGAAACTCCCGAGTCGTGACCATTCAAGTCAGTTCAAGCAATTGAACAGCTGGTCCAATGAAATCTGGCTGGTCAACGGGATCGTCACGTGATGGTCACGCTGTCCGGAGATGCCCATACTCCACTGCTGCTCGTGGTTTCGCAGGAAGAAGAAACATCCGCGACGTCAGATCAATGAACAAAATTTTGGCGTGTGGTAGGTACGGCTTCGGGTGCAAATTTTTTTCCCATCAACAGTCAACAGTGTCTTTTTTCAGAGTTTCAACATGCTTCAACCCATCCTTACCATACCATTCCCTTTCAGTCTTCCAACCAATCTGCTCGCGGCGTCGACCAGCTCACCGGAGTCGCCAATCCGCACGGCGCAAGGCTGAGTCCTGCATTGGTTCTTCTGTGTGGGCCTCGGATGATAGGAATGGAGTGAGGTCGCAGAGGTTTTGAGAACAATTTGATGTCCCATGCATAGATCCTTTACTGTTGGTTGGTTGTTTTATACAGGGGATACCCCCGGTCGTGTACAACCAATAATTATTACCCAGCTGCCTCCTCTAATATTCTCGTTCGGCCGATGTCAAAGTTCAGCCTCACCCAAGCGGCTTCGCCTTTGCGACTGGATGTGTCAAGAATGCGGCGGAAGCAATCTCTGTGATTTATCTAGTTCCAAGAATTATTCATAGATAGATCCTGCCTAGCCTGCCCACCAAAACCCTATAAATATAAATGTGTAGGGTCTAAATCTAAAACGTGTGTTTTTTTAAAATACACATACCTTGGGTGTGTTCTTGAGAACTCGGGTTGTGCTTTTCAACCCCGTGCAAAACCCATATTTAACCCGTACTGACCCTGTACTTTGGTACTGGTCTGGAATACTTCGGAGGTCCTTCAGAAACCCTATGTTTTTCCATATATATAGAGAGAGACCCTACACATGTCATCATGTCATCACATTTCTAGGGCGTGCGCTGGGGATACATATGTGTGTGTGTGTGTGTCAATCCATGTTCCTCTTATTCTTCCATTCGCTTGGCTCATTGTGTAGAGCAAGGCCCCTGTGACTACAACCACAATTACACTACAGCAAATGCTATACAACCACCATATATACGCTAGCCGCTAGACCACTTGAATGTTGTCAATCATAGTTTGCATCTCATCGTTTCATAGATTCTTCTTGAACATGTCCACTTTCTTTGTTTGCAAACTGCTTTTCAATATGGCCAGTGATGATTCCAGCCGCCATGAACATGCTTCACATGACGTGGAGTTGCGACCTCGCAGCCCTCACAGCAGACATCGCCTCGGGGCTTTGACGCGCAGGTCAGGCACGGTGGGGTCAACGGCGTCCGGGGAGATCATGCAATGGCTCCAAAAGCTGGAAGCGACTGAAGAGAAGTTGAGTCAACAAATTCACCAAGTGCCCTCGATGTGCAGAACGGGATATCACGAAAGGTAGCCCTTTAGGGGATACCTTGAGTTTGTCTTGCGAAGCAAGTGTTGGGACGTCCGGGTCTAATAATTGATCGCTCAATTCAGACCCCCCCCCA